CTTTCCTCCAGCCTGTCGACCCCACCACACATCTTGGTGTCATCGGTAAACTTGAAACAGCACCACACAGCTTGGTGTCATCGGTAAACTTGAAACAATACAAAGTGTATTCTTCAGTTTTGAGTTCCTGGTGTGTTCCTAGGTTGCAGATGGGATTCATTCATTTTAGGCTGTATTTTTTGACTATTTGACAGACACTGCCACATGAATGAGAGCTATCTGATTGCATCTACTCTCCTTTTTGTCATAAATATCTGACATGGATCTGCATGGAACACTACTGATGCTGTCTCAACAAATGCTTCAGTGTCAATAGCGTTGAAGACAGCAGAGTAGGACTCCTTATTCATCATGTCTTATGCAGATCTCTGTGTAGTTTATTCCATAACCAAAGTAACGCTTGCTATGATCTTCCATATCACCTCCAGAAATCAGACATACATAGATAGTTTCTTTTGGTGGACTCTGGGAGGTTTTGCTTTTTTTTAAGTCTGTTTTAAAGATTTTCCATGTTTGTATTTACATCCAATTTGTGTGAAGCAAGGGCATTACTGTTTTAAGATTTTCTGTATTATGCAGAAGAAAAAGTAAAGAGTTTATAGTTTATTAAAATAGAACCATCCTTGCAGTGTAAGCTGCAACTCTGGTTAAACTCTTTAAATTTTTCCTCCTATAGGCTGCTGAAACGGGAAGTGGAAAAACTGGTGTAAGTAATCAAATTTAAATTAGCAGAAGTAAAAGTCTTTAAGTGGTGAGAGATGGTGTGCATGTTTGTGCATATATACAGAGAGAATGCGTATATGTTTGTGTATGTATTTGAGTAGTATTATTAATAATCTTTACAAACGTATGTGTAGGCTTCTTTTAAAGTGTTTCTGGCCGTGGGTGTTGCATCTGAAAACTAGGCTGACTGTGTCTGGAAATACCTGTATAAATTGTGGAATGAAAATAACTTTCCATTTTAGGCTTTCAGCATTCCAGTTATCCAGATTGTTTATGAAACGCTGAAGGACCAGATGGAAGGCAAGAAAGGGAAAGCAACTATTAAAACTGGTGGGGCAGGTAAGTTTTTAAGTGTCGCACACTCCTCAGGTTTGGAACACTGTTAATTCATGTCGATTCTGTTACCTCCCAAAGTTAACCTAACTTGCCATTAGAATAGTATTTTTCCTTAATTTGGGATAACGTAAATAGAACATCATCACCCCAGATTTTATAAAACAGTGAATATAAATTTACTGTTGGAGTAATGGAAAGAACTGGGGTGCATTTGCAATCTCTTAGTAGTGCTCGTTGTCTTTGGCTTAAGGCTGGCTGATCCACACCACACTCTTCAGTGTTCTTTTGAAAACCATACTACTTTGGTGCTTTGCAAGATGTGAAGTAGTAGTAGTGTCCAGCTTAAAAAAAAAAAAAAAAAAAAAAAAAAAGGCCGGGGGGGGAGTTAAATCATCTTCCAGTTGCAGGGATAGATGAGATACCAGTAGTGACACCACATAGTTGGTTTGAGTCTCTTAAGTGAGCTTGAGCAGAAAGCTCTTCTAGGCTCAAACTTTTGTGTGGCTGGGTAGTCTGTCTTTCAGTTCTGCTGTGCTGAATAAAGCTGTTGCATTCCTTTTGGCACTTAGCTAGGTTTGGAAGCTGAGTAACAACATCTTGAGTTGCTCCAGGTTTGAACTAGTAAACATTGAACTGAGCAGGAAATGCACAGGGCCAACAACCACTGATATAGAATGGATTGTAACAATGATAATATTTTTGCAGTATTTGAGGGTCTATTATACATCTGTTTAAGCTTGCAACTTGAAAGCTAGTTAGGTGTTTACAGGTAAAAACTTATGTAAGTTACAGTTACTGCACAAACAACACTCTGAAGATGTTGCAGAAATTCTTGTCTTTCAGTTCTGTTATAACTACTGCTACAGTGGTGACAGTACATTCAACTTAAAAAGAAAAAAAATTCTCCTTGAAAGAATGTAATTTGAATACACTCAGTAATCCTAATTGAAATAGCATCTGGTTCTACAAAAAAATCCTTCTATTGAGGAACTTCTAGACTTTATTGCAACATGTTATTGAGCATATGAAAAATGAAGGCAAAAATTTTATGTGCTATATGTGCATGTGTCTTAGCTCTTCAGTAATGACTTTTAACTAATACCCTGAAAAATATCTTAATGTAAACTTGGAACAGAAATAGCAAATAAATTTCAAATTTATTGCTCTTAATGTAGTTTTGGATGCTGAATTTGATTGTGATTATGTGGAACTCTGGCTTTTTATAAATATCTTCATTGTTTTCAGTTGTATTTTTGAGTAACTTAATCTGTGTACTCTTTAATGGAATAATCTAAACTTTCATAGAATACCTTTGCATTATGCATCTGTGCCCCTCCTTCAAGTTATAGGCCTTCATTTTGACGTTGTATGAATTGCATTGGAACAAAGCTGTCTCCCCAGAAAATTAAGCCAAATGCTGCAGAGCCAATGTGACCTTCTAATTAGAGTTTTCCAGGCTTACCTTGTTGGTTTAATACTTTTTCTCTTCTTGTCTTTCAAACCTAGTGCTCAATAAATGGCAAATGAACCCGTATGATAGAGGATCAGCTTTTGGTGAGTTGTCCTAATGCTGCTTTAAATGTTCACTTGAAAATGTTCACTTGGTGGAAAAAAAGAATGAACCAGAAGAAAGCATGCTTGAAAGTTTCTTTTAAAAGCAGTTAGAGAGGCAATTTCTTTAACTAAAACTGTCTTGTAATTTTCAGCAATTGGATCAGATGGTTTGTGTTGTCAAAGCAGAGAAGTAAAGGAATGGCATGGATGCAGAGCAACTAGAGGTGTGACTAAAGGTAGATATAAAATTACGGTTTTTCAAGACTCTTCTAGGTGTTTCAACTGAAATGCCCATTTGTCACCCATTGTTAATGTAGATGGTTGCATTTAAAACTTATTATCCATCTGAGCAAATGTGTTATTACTCAATTTACTGCTAGCTGAAGACTTTGGAATGACAAATGCCTCTGTTTTCCTCTCCTTGTTTTGGAAGTTACCTTTTCTCTGATAGGGGATTGAGTCAGAGGAGGCAGAATCGTAACTAATATTCATTAGAACACATTTTATTTTATATTAAGATGTTATTAATAGGAAATAGCTATTCACACAGTACTTTCAGTTGTTTCCTCGCACACTTCACACAGACACGTGCATGCACAGATTTCATGGTTACATGATTGGAGCAGCAGTTGAGAGGCCAACCCCAACTCTACTCAGAAGCAGAGTCATACTGATACTCCAGTGGTTCTAGGTGGGTGTTCAGAAAGACCCTCAGTCTCATTTCATCACTTGTGCAGATAATCCTGTAGTCAGTCTGTACGTAGAAGCAGTTGGATGTGGTTCAGTTTACATAACCAGTTGTTGATTCGGCAGACCCCTGGTGTTCTGAGTTTTATCAGTTCTTGTGGATTCAGTAGAACCACTGATCTCTCTAGCTTATCACTCCTTTGAAGTCTTTCACACACTACCTCTCAGCACGTACTTTTTCTCTCTTTGAAAATCTGTTTCTTCATCACATACGTAGGTACCTACAGAACCTTTTCACACTAACACAATAGGGAGATTTATGACGCTTTCAGCAAGAGTGGAAATGTTAGACTTGCATGGTCTTGGAACTAGCGAAACTGAACCACCTTGATGAAACTGAAATTTAGGTGTTTTACATCCTTTCTTTCTCTTTTAAAGGGAAGTACTACTATGAAGTTTCTTGTCATGACCAAGGCTTGTGCAGAGTTGGTTGGTCAACTATGCAGGCTTCACTAGATTTGGGTGAGTTTACTTCAAAAGAAGAATCCAATAGACAGTTTTCATATTCATGTGGAATGGCTAGAGTCCTGTTCTAGTCTTGCAGAGAATGGGCTTAATGGGAAGGATAGCAATATCAGGGAGTTGAAAACTTTGGTACAAATGTTGCTCTTCCTGTAAGAGGAAGTCTGCTTGGGTTGTGGCAATGTTTGGTTTTTTTTCTCTTGTGACTTTTTCCCTTGTATTCCAATTTTTTAATGAAGATGACTGAAGACTAGTAAAATCAGTAAATGTACAGGTACAAAAATACTAGTTCAGTGTATATCAAAGCTAGATGTCTTTAGTTTGCACTGTATTATTTTTTTACGTGGTAGTATTAGAAGTTTCAGTTATGAATACAAAGAGGAAAAAACATAACCTGTTGACCAAAAGATAAAAAGCTATACTTTGTCTTGCCTTTAGGTACTGATAAATTTGGCTTTGGCTTTGGTGGCACTGGTAAGAAATCTCACAACAAGCAATTTGACAGCTATGGCGAGGTAAGCTTGACTTGCTTATTGGTAGGAACATTATTAAAAGTTTTATAGGTTCTGTGGTTTTGTGTTGTAATAATCAACTTTGTTTTGTAGTAGTGCTAACTTGTAAGGGAAGGCCACTGGGCAAAAGTACCATGAAACACTGAAGCATTTTTGGATAAAAGCGTATTAACAGATTTAACAAAAGCAGTTATCAGCTTGAAGTTTATGACTGTGGCTAGACCACAAATATATTGACTCTTATTTAGAAGATAAATCTTTTGTGTGCAATATAGGTTAGAGGCTGAGTGATCTCTTGGATTTCTTTCTTGACTTATTTCAGTCTTAGCCTGAACACCACCAATCCAACTGTGTACCTTGGTGAATAATTGAGGTCATCGTATCCTGTTTAAATCACTCAGCTCTCTAATACGTCAAAACACAAATGCTAATAAGATGTGGTTGGTCATGCTGTTGAGTTGGGTTTGCCATTAGAACTGTTACCTTAATGTACACGTCTGAAAATGTCTACCAGGATTATCTGTGGTGTTTTTCGTGCAGTGTGCCAGTCAAGTTCAGATGTTTAAGCATAAATTATGCTTAATGTGAATAATTCAGAAACTTAAGTGTTTTTGTGGTATTAATGAACTCTCAATGCCATAAAACTTGCAACTTTTATAACTATTCTAGTGTAGCCTTTTTATACTAGTGACTTCTGAGCTGTTGAAATAGAAGCATTTTATAAAATACAGATTTATTGAATATCTTTACAATGAAAAGACTTCAAGATATTTAAATGAAGTACCTAAGTGTATATATAACATGCATATAGTACCTCCTGCAAGAATTAGTCTTTTTATATAGTCTAAGTATAGGTTTCTGTTACCATGTTTGGTGCTCTAAGCTTAGGTTTACATTGGCTAGTACATGCACAATTAACGCACTTTTTCGTAATGCAAAATAATTCCAGCTAAATGAGTTAAATTTATCATTGTCAATGTGTTTGGATTTAAGGTAAATTTAGAACAGCAATAAACATTTAAATATCTAAGATAAATTGGGCAGTTTACTGAAGATTTGTAATCAAATAAAAATATACACACTATTTACAGCTGTATTATTGGAATAAATTTAACTTGCTTCTCTCAAAAATTAGCATTTAGTAGGGAGAAGTGGGAAGACTTGAAAAGTTGACAGTATGTAAGCACTAAGTTTTCTTAATACATTGAACGCTAAAATCTCTTAGCTTCACAAACATCTTTTTGTTATAGGAATTCACTATGCATGATACAATTGGGTGTTATCTAGACATAGATAAAGGACAAATAAAATTTTCCAAAAACGGTAAGTTTTATTCGCTTTCTTCTTTGGAATTTTATTGGGATGCTTGATTGGGAGAAGGGTAGGGGGAGGAAGGCTCACACACGTGTGGAGTCTGACTGAACTAACCCTGCTTTCAGGGAAGGACCTCGGCCTTGCGTTTGAAATCCCACCACACATCAGGAACCAAGCACTTTTTGCAGCTTGTGTACTAAAGGTAACTTAGGAATATCACAGATGTGTAAGATCATGAAAATTGTTCTGGTTTGATAACTAACTACTTATGTATAAAATTTGCATAGCCACCTACAGTTACCGTAGTTGTGCTTGTACACTCTCCATTTCCTTTGGTCTACTGGTATTTCACTACTGGAGTGGTCATCACAGTGTGTTAGCTTTGACAAGTACTGTTCAAGTTAAATATTGAATGTTAAAATTTAAATACTTAATCTTGAATGTAAGGGTAGAATAGCATGGATAACTAATTCCTAATACCAGTGCTATCTTACCTGTATTAAACTTCAATATACTGTGATTCAGCAGACATAGCAAATAATTGAAAGTGCCAAAATTCCCATTTCGTTTATTCTCAACTCTAACGTTACAGTAGTATAGTAGTATGTCTTTCTGGAGTTAGTCTCCCTGGGATGATCTCTTACTGAGTAAAGGTTTTAGCAAAACATTTTGGTGGTCAGAGAAATGTACAAGTACAAAAAAATGTGGGTTTTGTTTATTTTTTTGTCATTGAAAGTGAATGGAACATAAAAGTTAAAAAAAGATTTCCATCTTCTGTAAATGTGGGAATGTTTTGATGCAGAAGAAAAGAGTTTTAAGAGCTAGGACCACGCACAAAATGTCTGGCAGGTTTTAGATCACTTGGGGAAGGGGGATGTGTAGGATCACATCCTCCTCATCTAGCTGTCTTCTCATGCAGAAATTAATTATGGAATGTTTCTCATTTTACGTGGTCTCTTGCATCTGTCTGTATGACACGACTTTGTTGAAATCTAGAATGCTGAATTGAAATTCAATTTTGGTGAAGAAGACTTCAAGTTTCCACCAAAAGATGGCTATATTGGTCTTTGTAAGGCTCCTGATGGTAGTGTTGTAAAATCACAACACTCAGGTAGGTTAGATTTTTTTAAACTTCTCTCTATTCTATATTCAGGTTGTGTTACAGAGCATCTTTTGATTGCTTCAATTACTTCATTACTACTGTATTCAAAGTCTTACAATGATTTTACCAGTAGCAATATTAGTGGTTGTTGTTTGTTTGTTTTAAAGTATTCCACATTTTCTTTATCTTAAACAAAAAATAGTCTTACATTTTGAATTTAGAAGTGCATCAGATAAAAGAGAAGTTCAGCTAAGTTATTCAACAGTGTCGTCTTAAAAATAAGTTTGTGTGTGTTTTAAGCTCTGCAATAAAATTAATTATGCTTCATGGCCAGTATACCCACTATCATGGCAAGATTCACTTGTAATCTCTGCATATTAGTCTGAAGCTATTTGTAATTGAGTGAGCAGTAACATCACCCTTTAATGGAGCATTTAGAATCATGAGGTTTTAGATTATTAGTAGAAAATCCAAATTTGTTTCCAGTAAAAAAATTCCAGGATAGGAATGTAGTTTGTCTTAATGGCATATTTTTTTCATTTAGGTAATGCACAAGTGGTTCAAACACAGAACCTTCCAAATGCTCCAAAAGCATTGATTGTAGAACCTTCAAGAGAGCTGGCAGAACAAACTTTGAACAATGTGAAGCAGTTCAAAAAATATGTTGATAATCCCAAATTAAGGTAACAGTGCGTCAGTTATAATTGTATGTGTGGTAGTGCCCACGGACATGACTTTGGGGGGGAATGAAGGGTGTTCCACTTGGTAGCTGAGTGGGCCTTAATCTGCAGTGCTACTGATAATGGCCTCAGTAGTATCTGCTACCTACCAAACTTCTGACTTTTCAGCCACAGTCAGACCAGTTAGGGGATTTTTTTGATGTGTTTTATCTATGGACTACATCTTTCTGGTATGACATCACTTTGGTTTTTTTCTTCAGATTATCTGAAGATATGTATGATACTTAATGTTTTAATTAAAAAAAGCACATTTTCTGCCTACTGCCCTTATTTTCTGAGCATCTTCCCATTCCCTCCACTTCCTCCTGCACTCATTTTGTTTGGTTTCCATCTCCAACAAATAGTTACATACAAGGTCTGCTCTGTTTACATCAGTGTGCTCGCAGGACAAATGTTGCAGTGATTAGCATGGCGATGCAGTTCTGAAAAATGAATTGTCTAAAGCTGTTTATCTTTTGACTCTGCTTATAAAACAAGTGTCTCCGTACCCTAAACTGCAGCCAATTTACAAGAGTGCTTTTACTAGAATGGCAGGGTATTAGCAATGGGGAGTGGCAGCTATGATGTAAGACTCATTTAGAGTACTGTTATTTGTGTTTCTAGTTTTCAAGAACACAGTAAACTTAGTTAACTTATGTTTGAGATTTTTAAGGAATAGATTATTTTTTTAAGATGAAATTGGCTAAAGTCTTAATGTGTTTGATTATTTATTGCTGTTTTATTAAATTAAAATACAATTTGGTAACAAAACTTTCACTTCTTGAATTAAAATACAGTACACTACATATGAAGGGACAAACTTTAAAATTAATTTTTTTCCTATTTTTCTTAAATTACTGTTCAGAGCTGTTAATCGTAAACTACTAATAGAAGAATCAATGTTCAGCCAGATGCTTAATATATCTTCTGAATATAATAACTTAGGAAATGTCTAAAATATGTTGATGTAATTTTAGGGAACTGTTGATTATTGGTGGGGTTGCTGCAAGAGATCAACTCTCTATACTGGAACAAGGAGTGAGTTGTATTTTTGTTCATATGATTTAATAGTCTGGGTTCTGAATAACTCATGATGTTGCTAGAGGATGGCAATGGCACTTCTTACAATTCCTGTAAACGTGATAAAAAGAAATTGTCCAGTTGGTAGCAAGCTTGTGTTGCACTGGCCTAGCATTTGTTGCTTTACTTCCATGGCAGTTGTCAATACAAATGCTTGTAGTAGTTGGTTAAATTCTGTTGAAGCCTGAGTACTTCTGAAAATTCTAAATTGTGTAATTTTTGCTGTTTGTCCTTAACTAACAAAACAGAGACAGTTTTCCTATTAACTTCTGCTTCCCATTTACGTGAATAAAACTGGTCTGTAATTGTCAGGGTCAACCTACACCACAAACCAGTCCTACATAAAAGGAGTAAGTCTAGCTTTTGCAGCATGGGCTGTACGATTAATTCCGTCATGCTGCAGGAATAACATAGTCATTTTTTTTATTTCAGACTCTTTTTTTGGAAGTGAGACGTCACTATTGATAAGTTTTGCACTGATTCTAGCTGCCAAAATACAAGTTACAGGCTTGAACTGGAAGATTGCTAGACTTTCATGTGAATGCTAAATTCATGATGGTGAACCCTTCCATCTGGCAAAAAAGAAGTTATTTCTAGGCTTGATATGTATACTTCCACAGTGAGAAAAGTTGAATTTATTTTTTCCCCATTTGAAAACAAATCTGGTTGTTGGCTTCAGATATCAAAGTTACACAGCTTGGGGGACAGGGGAGGGGAGAAGGGAGCAGGGGTACACCACTTCACTAAATAAGGGAGGGCTTCCTGCCTAAGGCAGATTCTGCTAATGAAATGGCCGTAGAACCAAAATACAGGTTGCCCAGAGAAGTTTGGGGATCTCTGTTGGAAGATACTGAAAATTTTTTTGGGGCAACTACCTAAAGCAATTTGGAAGTTGTCCTTGATTTGCATGTGATGATGGGAGTGGAGACCAGATGACCTCAAGAGATCCCACCAACTCAAATTACTCTAGGATTCTATGAAGTTATAATTAGTAGAAAATAGGGCATCATACTGATAACAGTCTCATAATCTTAAATTTAGACAAAGCTGGTAATGCCTCTAGTTAGTTATTGGACCAGTTCATACTCTTGTATATTTCATAGGTGGATATTGTTGTCGGAACTCCTGGAAGACTGGATGACCTGGTCTCAACAGGAAAGCTTAATTTATCTCAAGTGAGATTCCTGGTTCTGGATGAAGCTGTAAGTAGAGAACTAAGTTATACTTCAGTTCTGTTCTTAAGTGCAATATGACATTTCCTAAAAGAGTCAGTGAAACAACATTGTTCTATAACATTTGGTACTTCAGTGGAACAACAATTAGCTATTCCAGGTTAATGTTCTTGTTCTTTGTAACCATAGTAACCTACTCTCTGGTAAAGCTGTTTGGTTCTTTGTTTGTGTTTTTTTTTTTTCCTGATAGAGAAATATATTTCAGGCTGTATTCACAAGGTAGTGACATCTGCCCCTGTCACTCATTGTATAGGGAACTTGAAAGGACAAAGATGAGATAAGCATTTTTGATTACTTAACAGGTCTTGAACCCAATGAATGTTGTAGTCCATATGCTGTGAACTGAGTGCCCCTCTCTGATCTGTTACAGTATAACTGAATAATCACAAAGATGGCATGCCTTGGGGTTTTAGCTAGGAGAAGCTTCTGAGACAGATGCTTCAATTTCTTGTGAAGCACAGCAGCTGTACTCCAAATTTTTTCTTTCTTTTTTTTTTTCCTCCTTAGTAATAATCCAACCAGGCATTGACCTGTCCAGCTAATTTAAAGAGACAACTTCTGAGACTACAAATGTACTGCTTAGTTAAGTGTATAGACTGAGAAATGAGAAATAAGAATTGCAGCTTTATTTCTTTTATTTTATTCCCATGTAGGATGGCCTTCTCCTCCAAGGTTATTCAGATTTCATAAACAGGATCCACAGTCAAATTCCTCAGATAACTTCAGATGGAAAGAGACTTCAGGTATAAAATTTTTTGTGTGGTGTGTTTTGTTTTTGATTTTTTTTGTTTGCTTTGGGGTGTTTTTGTATGGCATGCACTGCTTTCAATTGTTGACTATTATGTAGCATTACTATTATTGGCTGGATGGTCGCACTCAAAGAGTTCTGGTCAACGGCTAAATCTCCAAGTGGAGATCAGTGACGAGTGGTTTTCCTCAGGGGCCGGTACTGGGACCGGCAC